TTTAGTTTAAAATTGCTCTTGTAAAAAGAGAGAGAGAGAGAGAGCAACATATTTATGTACTAATTTTTTTTATTTTTCTATAGACTTTATAAAATAAAATGTTATTTTTCTTCACAATTGGAGTTTCCCCTTTTTCTCTTTACTTTTCGAGTTGGTACCGCTCCCGCTACCAACGTCTGAGGGAGGGGCATATAACGAATTTAACTCATTCGTTATGTCTCTCTCTTCCCACACATGCATATACATAATTCTTATACTTATACTATATCCAGATTCATATTATATTATACAGCAGCCTGCAGCAGCCGATAACGCCGAAGTATAAGGTAAGAGAGAGAGCGCGCTATGTCTATTAACGAGCCTATAGGCAGAGAGAGTCGCGTTCGCGTGTATGTGTGTGTGGTCGCGCTGCCGAAAAGCGTGACGAAAGAGTGGGGACGCCTCGGAGGTGAATTGACTGACGGACGTAACGCGGGCAACACGTGTTTTGGGGCGCGCGCTGAATAGGTTTTTTTTTGCTTCGGTCGTTGCCGTTGTTCAGCGATCCTTCGTCTTTTTTTTTCTTGCGTACTCGGACTTTCGATCTGGCGTTGCCTTAACTTATTCGCGAGTGCGTGCAGTGGTGCGGCATTTTCACAAGACAGTGTGTGTGTGCAAGGACATAACGCTAGGTAGCCCCACACTTCGTCACCACTGCAACCGGCGTCCGGGAACGCTGTTCAGCGAGCGAGCGTTTATTGTACGGAGGGCCTGGCCATCGTCGCCTCATTGTAAGTACCGACTCGTTTAGCTCTCTCTTGCTTGCTTGCTCGCTTCTCTCTCTCTTTACCGATTTACTACTCTGTACGCTTTCTCTTTGATGCTTTATATAAATTATTCTTATCCTTCTTATTCCCTGCGTTTCTTTGACTTTGTGCCCGACTTTCACCTCCATTCCTTGGCGAATTCTCTGCGCTCGTCACTACTTTTCGCGTTTTTCAGTCACTGCTACCTGCGACGCTATACGCGGGCCACGAGGCTACTTGATATCGTGGCTGGTTAAAAGGCTTGGCCACACCGGTGCCAGTGCACTAACCTGGTGGCATTAGTTATTTATTAAGCCGAGCTGTCAACTAATCCATACTCTCGAATGTAACGGCGGGTCAGCCAAAACCCCGTTATAAAATATAAATGTAGAAATATATAAATAATTCGTTATATATTTCCGTATTAATTAAGATTTTTACTGCGAATTTTATATGTTTAATCGATGAATACATTCAACTTTGCGTTAGAAAATTTAAGAATGGCTTGAACGAAAGTTAATAATTATATTCATTATAATTAACTCTGATTTTGCAGTATTTCTTATGGGTTTTTGATAATTACTTAATAGTTAAAACTAATAAAATCTTGTTTGTTTTCAGATGAATATAATTCTTAACTTTTGGTCTGTACTTTAGTTTTATTATAGATTAAATAATATTTTTGTAAAATTAAAGTACCACACACACAATTGCATTTAGATAAAATTAATTTAAATAATTAAAGATGAAAATAGTACATAGAGGCCCATCTGTGTGAAGAGGGCCCAAAACACTTTAATAAGGCTACTCTCGCACACTCCGCCCCCGGCCAATTAGAGTTCGAATTTCGCTTACGCTTGAGACACTCCCCAAATTTTCCAACCAATTAAATCAGGAAAATTTGAGTTCTTCCTGCCCAAAAATGACAAGGAATTTAGAATGGGAGTCTCTTGCGAAAAACATAAAAGGAAGCTCTTGAAGAAAATTATGCAGTTTTTTCCAGTTCGTTCAGTGTTTTTTCCAATTCGCTCAGTTCGTTAAGTTTTTTAGTTCGATCAAGTTCTTCCAGTTCGTTCAAGCTGTTCAGCCTATTCAGCTCAATATTTTATAGAAAGAACCTCCGTGTGTGTGGGAAAATAAATACGAAAAGTAAGTAAAAGAATATAAATAAAAAACTTAAACTCTAATTTCTTTCGGTTAATTTCTCTCTAATTTTTAGTTCATTTCTTTCCTTATTCTTTCCTTTCCTAGTTTCCCGTACGGTTTTTCTTTTTTTAGATAGTTACACTCGATTGCCAAGCGTGTGGTCGGGTGCATATTAGATAGGCTCCCTTTATGTTATTTTATTGCCAAGAGTGTGGTAAAATAACGCGTATTACTATATTACTAAGCGTGTGGTATGGTAAAGCTTCAATCCTCCGCCGCCGAAAAGAGAATTTCCCGCGATAGTGGCAACACACGTCCCGGTTATTGTCCGAAAGGATAGACCAAAAAGTGCGCCTGAGAATTGTCTCGTCAACCGACGTTACACAAAGTTAATTTGTTTGTTACATTGTAAATATTAATTATTAAAAAAATGCGGAAACTCTAAATTCATGATGATTATCTAAATAACATGATTAAGAAGTTATTTCATTGATAACAGCTTAGTTATTATTGTTATCAATAAATAAATAATTAATAATTTATTTAAACATACAATTGTATATAGATCGGAAGTGTTAATAATAACGACAACTTTATAATTTGTTGATCTTAATTAATTAATTTAGTATTTGCATTATAAGATTTTACGAAAAATCGTTACAAATAAGAAAATTTATTATAATTCAAATGTTACTAACTAATTCAAGTAATTCTCATTAGGAATTACCTCTATTAGTGATAAACTATTAATCTATGTAAAATTTTATCTTTGTTTTATTTTAATATTGCGCTATCACATTAACTAACTTTATTAGTTAATATAACTCAAATGATTTATATCTACTTCTGTAAAGTTTACACGATTTAAAATTTCATTATTACTGTTTATTCACTTGTAAATTTGAAAAAATGATTTCGCACAATTGCGTAAACAACTCGAAGAGAGCTGTCATGCAAAAATAGACGGGAAAATCTGTGTATAAATACGCTGATTTTTGCACAGGCTAGCATTCACTCCTAGCCTTGTAAAGTGAGCGCATGAAATTGAATAAACTAGACTAATACCTAAGTTCTTTCTCTCAAATGATTAACTGAGCAAACCCTATCTTTCCTATTGTAATTTATGTTCGACTCATAGAACACTTTGCGCTATGAGAAACTTGGGCTAAATTACATCCTTTTATAAGAAAGACTTAAGTTCTGCTTATGGGATAGTTCGCACCATAAGAAACTAGGAAAAGTCTATCTTTCCTTAAAATCTAACTCATATAATTATAGATATTCATTTATTATTTTATTTCAAAGTTAATATTTAAAAGCATTTTTGAAAATTGAAACAAATTCTTACTCATTAACGCGACAGACCACGAGAGTACGAACAATAATATAAATAAAAGGTGATACGAACCACTGAAAAAAGTTTCATGTGCTTTGTTCTCAAATACATTGCAAGCCTCCGTCGCTGATTAGCACTGATGGAGCATAAATAGAGCGACGTTACATAAAAAAAAAGGTGATACGAACGTCACAGTATTAAAATAAATTTTAATAAATTTTGGAAATTTCAATCCTTTCTCCTACAACTCCTTTTGTATTGTTGATAACGTTTCTGACTTCATTTTTATCTATTATTATCTCACATTATAGGGAATCGTACTGATGATTTAATAACTTATTTTACAGACATTATCTATTAAGACTTTGAATTTGCAATATGAGATCTATTGCTGAGAGATAATTAATACGGCTGCAATAAGAATTCACTTAACATTTTTTATATAAATGATTATATGGGAATTTTACATTCCCATAAAATGAAGAATTTTATTACAAATTATATTCACGATTATATACAAAGTATTGAAAATTTATTTTGTGACGGAGCCTTGGTTGAGATGGCCGGTCCTGTCTGGCTCGCTCTGCCTCCTGCGATTCGCTCCTTCGCTGTGGCCATGGCGAACGTGATAAGGCCAAGGACCATTACCGATATCCGCAACGCTTTATTTCAGGACCAATACCTGTGGCTGTTATCGTTAGTGGAAGCCAATTGGGAGCGAGAGTAGCAGCGTCGAAAAGACAGAGACAAGATATGTCACGTAAAATGAGAGAACGAGCGCGAGCAACCCGCGGCGATCCGCTCGAGCCGACACGCGCGCGGCGGGAAGAGAGAGTAGAGTTTGGGCTGGGTTTTCGATCGAGAGGGCCGACAGCACGCATATTAGAAAGAAGAGTCTTCAGCATCCAGAATCATCGATTGCAGAGCAACAAGATCTAGGAACGTGGACGATGCTGGGCATAGAATGGCGAGGAAAGATTATAGTCCAGGGCACGGGGACTTCGAGCCAGCCTGATTATCGACCTGCCAGCAACTGCAGCATCAGTTCAGACATCAGCCTTCTTCAGGTCAGGTCGTCTCTCTCTCTCTCTCTCTCTCCCTCTCCTTTTATTCGCGAGTATGTGATGCGACGGCGAAGTGCTCGCGATCATCGCTACTTTTGTACGAGTTAGTGGTACAAATATAATCTAAGATGATTAAGAGTCATTACTGTATGCACCCGTCCTATCGAGCTAACACCCAGTCCGCCAACTTCGTGACGTGGCCCAACATCACATTTGCAGTGGACTGAATGAGTGTCCCGCGCCTTTCCCTTAAAAATAATTCGTAACACGGCGCTTGGGCACTAGCCTAGCGTGTGGCTAGTGGAAAGAATCGAATACGATTCTTTCCCTCACGCGTTTAATAAATCATAATGTTTCAATTTTATGTCATAAAATTCTAGCAATTCTGCGTTGTTTTTTTTAATTATATTCATGATTTCCTTCATCATTAACATTAGATATTATTCACACATAGGTGTAAAACATTTTGGGTGAAAAAAACGTGATTAACTTTTCAAATAAAGCAGTTCAAATAATTCGATTAATAATTAATAATGTGATCATATGCATGCTATAGTTTCACTGCAATTATACTTATTTTAATAAATTAGCGCTATGTCTAACAATTTCTTTACCAATAATGCTTAATAAATATAATAAACTAAAATTACACTAGATAAATTCAGTTACCTTTAGTTGACCTTTCATTTTGTATTCTTCAACTCTTACAAAACTTTCAATAACTCCACAAATGACATCCGATGTAGCAGGTTGTGCTTTTCCTAATCGATCTGCATGTATTCCTTCAAGAAGTAATGTAACAAGCAAATCCTTCAAAGATGCAATCATTTTATTTTCCCATAGATATAAGCCAAGTTCACCTATTTCTTTCTGTTCTTGACAGTCAGGGATTGTAGACGGAGATCCATAAATAATTTCTGCTTCTGTTAATTTTTGTTTTTTTATGTGTTGTTGATTTAAATATAGATATAACTGATGGAGGTAATTTATTCCTTGAGAATATTGAGTCCAGGCACGGTGGTAAGACTGCAATAAGCCAATTTCTCCGTGTGATTGTACTTGGATTAATAATTGATTAACATGATTGTCTAAAAATTTTTCAGTTTCAATGTACAAGCGATCAGCTAATGGTTCTGGATAGGCAACGCACAACGAATAAACATCACTATAACAAAATTAAACTTTTCTAAAATAATAGTTTTAACTATTTTAAATTTTATTTCATGCAAAATATTTATGTTTTTATTATATAACAGCATATATTTTTAATATAAAAGATTATGTAGCACTCAGACCACTGATAGTTTTTGAATTAGTCTTTTATTCTAGTCTGGAAAGAAATCACTACTTATTTTTCTATAGTTTGATAGTATTGCAATGACATTAATTTGGATTTTCAAGAAAATAACCATTAGATATACAGACTTAATCATTTTTATCTATAAAAGTAATATTAGAGATTGTAAAAGACAATAAAACATCGTTTGTCTATGTTCCTACGACATCTGTTACACAAAAAATAGCTTAGCATCTAAGCTGACTTAAGAATTCCCATAGTCATGCAGAATATGCCGCTATTATTTAGGTCGCATTTAATTAAATGTGATATCTACTTAAAGGTGTAAAACGATAAATAAAAAAATAATAACCGTAAATAAAAATATTGACAGTTTAGGTAGTCGGTGATATACGAGGTGTGATCAAAAAGTAAGGTGAATTTTGAAATTTAGCGGGCTACGTCCGTTCGATCTTCGACTTTTTCATTTGGTTATGTCGGTACACTCGTCTAGAACATACATTCCAAATTTCAGCTTTGTAGTATGTTTGGTTTGTTTGTGAGAGGCATCAAGGTTAGAAGTGTTTTGCGTGCTCCACGATTTGCTGCTGTCTAAAAACATGGATCAAAGAGTTTGCATTAAATTTTGTGTGAAAAATGGAATCAAATGTTCCAAAACACTTGAAATGCTGAAAGTGGCATACGGTGAGTCTACTTTAAGCCAAAAAAATGTTTACAAGTGGTATAAACTCTTCCAAGAAGGCCGAGAAGACACCGACGACGAACCTCGTTCTGGACGCCCCAGCACATCAACAACTGATGAGAATGTTGAAGAAGTGAAGAAAATAGTATTGGGAAATCGTCGAATTACCATTAGAGAAATTGCTGATGATATTGGCATCTCATTTGGTTCGTGCCAATCAATTTTGACGAGTGTTTTAGACATGAGACGTGTGTCAGCGAAGTTTGTTCCGAAATTGCTCAATTTCGACCAAAAGAAACGTCGCATGAGCAACGCCCAAGAGCTACTGAATGACGTCAACGATGATCCAGATTTACTCAACAGGGTTATAACAGGTGACGAAACATGGGTATACGGTTATGACGTCGAGACTAAGACTCAATCGTCCCAGTGGAGGCATTTTGGATCACCAAGACCAAAAAAAGCACGCCAAGTTCGATCAAATGTACTGGTTTTGCTTACAGTTTTCTTTGACTGCAGGGGCGTGGTGCATCATGAGTTCTTGCCACAGGGTAGAGCAGTAAATAAGGAATATTATCTGCAAGTTATGCGCAATTTGCGCGAAGCAATCCGCCAGAAACGTCCGAATTTGTGGAAAAATAAAAATTTGCTTTTGCACCATGACAACGCCCCTGCTCACACATCGTTGCTTGTGCGCGAATTTTTGGCTAAAACCAACACAGTAACGATGCCACAGGCACCGTATTCCCCAGATCTGGCCCCCTGTAACTTCTTCTTGTTCCCAAAACTGAAGAGGCCCATGAAAGGACGGCGTTTTGCCACGATTGAGGAGATAAAGACGGCATCGAAGGATGAACTAAACAAGATCACAAAAAATGATTTTTTGAAATGCTTTGAGGATTGGAAAAAGCGTTGGCACAAGTGCATTATATCCGAGGGGGATTACTTTGAAGGAGATAAAATAAAAATTGATGAATAAATAAATATTTTTTGAGAAAAATAAAAATTCACCTTACTTTTTGATCACACCTCGTACACTGTAAAAAATTCAAATAAAATTACAAGCAGCTAGTTATTTTATAGCGGCTCTAGACGCAGTAAAATTACGAAGCGTTTGCTTTTTTATATATGAGTCTGTTGTTTTGGGAAGAGTAATTATATGATCGGACAGTACATTTGTCAATAGTTATTAAAATTACCACGTCCGAAAGCAGTAAAAATCCGATATACGTTTTTACGAGGGTGGTCCGATAAGTACTTAGCCTCACCGCCCGATGGCGCCACTCTCACAAAAAAAATATTCTATCAAATAGTACAACCTTCTTGATGGTTACTGTCAAGATTTCAGCCGGATTGGAGTTGTAGTTTATTTTTGAGAGCGTGTGAAAGCAAGTGTGACCGTTGATTTTTGAAAAATGGTAAAAGAGCAGTATCGGTCGGTGATTCGATTCTTGTTTTTGGAAGAGAAATCGCGTAGCGAAATCAAAAAGCACTTGGATGCTGTGTACGGTGACTCTTCTCCTTCGATGGCGACCGTCAAAAATTGATTTAACGAGGTTCAACGTGGTCGCACGTCCATTTTTGAAGAGCCACGTCCAGGTGCTCCGAAAACGGCTACCACGGAGGATAACGTGACAAAAGTTCACGATTTCTTCTTGGCAGATCAACGATTGAAGGTGCGCGAGATAGCTAAGATCGTAGGCATCTCAAAAGACCGCGTGGGACATGTCCTGCATGAAATTTTGAGCATGAGAAAGTTGTTGGCGCGATGGGTGCCGCGCTTGCTCACTCCGGACAACAAGCGCAACCGTGAGACAACTTCAGAGCAATGTCTGACGCTGTTTAAGCGCAATCCGAAGGAGCTTCTGCGTCGTTTCGTGACAGTCGACGAAACATGGAGCCACTGGTATACACCAGAGTCCAAAGAACAGTCGAAACAGTGGACTTTACCGGCGAAAGTGCTCCGAAGAAGGTGAAGACTGCCCCATCGGTCGGAAAGGTGATGGCCACCGTTTTCTGGGATTCACAAGATGTGATCTACATCGACTACCTGGAGAGGGGCAAAACGGTCACAGGGCTGTACTATGCCGAATTATTGGGCTGATTAGACGTCGAATTGCAGAAGAAACGGCCCCATGTGGCGAAGAAAAAAGTGCTCTTCTACCATGACAACGCACCAGCTCACACCTCCGCCGTTGCCATAGCCAAATTGGTCGAATTAGGCTACGAACTGCTGCCCCATCCACCAGATTTAGCCCCGTGCGACTTCTTTTTGTTTCCAAACTTGAAAAAGTCACTCGCCGGGCAGAAATTTGAGTCGAATGAGGAGGTAATCGCTGCCACGGAAGCCGACTTTTCAGACCTCGAGGAAACGTATTTTTCAGACGGGTTAAAGAAGTTGGAGCATCGCTGGGCCAACTGTATCGAACTAAAAGGAGACTATATTGAAAAATGAAACGCTATTTTTCCAAAATTTTCGTTTTTCTTTTGTAGGCTAAGTAATTATCGCACCACCCTCGTATAGTAATATTCTAAATTATAGGAATTATATGTCAAACTGAAAATTTTACGTGATGCAAGTAAAATTACTCTTTGCACAGTAAATGTACTAACTGTCATTAAAAGGGCAATACTGTAGTTTCACATACGTCAGGTCCGGCTAGTAAAATTACTGTTGAACTGTAATATGATGGATTCGCGTGGTGGTGCATGTGGCAGAGGTCGCGCAATACTGCAGCTTTAAGAGTGCTTATATGCATAAGAAATGCAATAAACGATTGTTAAAAAACATTAACAGGAACTCAATACGTAAGTAGTATATTACGTACTATAACAGTTTCTTATGTATACATATAACCAATATTAGCATTATTAGTACGAGTTTATAAAACACGTTGAAATAGTAAGGTTATGTTCGCATATAAAGCATGTATGAAATAATGGCATGCGACTTTTATATTTCAATATTCGTATTATCTGAAAAAAAGATAATCACCAATGAATAATGAATACCTTCATAGAAAAAAGCGGTTTAAACTAATGTTTCATGTTTTCTTCCTTTCAGATATAAAACGCGATAGTTGTGATTTTCAATTGCCATTCGCTTTGCTATTTATAAGTAGTCGTTTCTCCATAACATATCCACTGAAGAAATATACTTGTGCTACTTACTATTATAATACAAGTAAAGTGAGCAGACGATAGAAGCTGCTCGTTTTTTGTCTTTCAAGGAAAAAGCAACGTAGGGCTATACATGTGAAGCATATAACTTGACCTGCACCACGACTGAATCGTAAGTTTTCTTTTATGCTTTGCGTAATGCTTTAAAAAATTCTCTAATGAAAATTTCTATATTGTAACGCATTCTTAATAAATTAGCTTTACGCTTTACTCTTTAATAATAAAATTATGAAAAACCATGTATATCAAGTTGAGAAAATCCTGTTAATGAAATTGAGAAAAGCTTTCTAAATCAAATATAATGCCTTCTAAATCTTCAAAAATTGCTACCCTACAATAAATCATTATAATTATGTTTTAGATTTGGAAAAAACCAACATTATCTATTTGATATCAACATTTCCTATTGATCTTTCCATACCCAATTCCTGCATTGAGTTGCTGGCATTATTTATTGAATTGATTATATTATCGATATGTATTATTGCAATCATTGTTCAAACGATTTCAAAGATATTTTTTTATATAATAAGCATCAAAGGCAACATGGTGGTTTTAAAATATTATGTAAATTTCCTGGCTGTAAAAAAGAAAGTTTGAATTATTTAAGCTTTAGACAATACATTTTAAGATTTCATAGAAATAATGGTAGTTTTTCTTGTAATTTTAAAAATTGTAACTATTTCTGTTCAAGCTCAATATCATTGAAAAAACACTACAAAAGTCACAATATAAATGAGCATTCTATTGAGTGTCATTACTGTCCTAAAGTTAGAGGGTTTAGTTCTCAAAATGCCTTAAATGTATATTTATCATTAAAACACAGAGATATGCAGGAAATATATGATCAACCTTCATTATTTTATGAAAATAAACACGGCAATAGAGAAATAATATTAGAAAACAACGTTGATCATTCTGTAAATGAAATTAAAATTAATTTTAATAAAGATGAGTTCGAGCGTGAAAATATCAACTCACCGGACACAGTCATAAAAGATAACAT